AATCTCTATTCCGAACGAGAAACGTGATAAGTACCGCGATAATACGGCGTTCCATCCTACCACTGTACACAGTCATCACACTCTAGGCCTCCGTGGTTTTTAGCAACCGGTTTTTCACACAAGCCACAAGGATATTTCACTGGGCCGGGGTTTTCATGGATATCTCCGCTTAGCACGAGGAGAATATGCATCAGCATTATCATACATACATGTTGCAAAATTCATGTGGGAGATGTTTAAAATTCTCATGTTTGTCAGTACTCCCAAGCTGTGGCGGGAGTACGAGTCCGCCATCTTGGATCAAACTCACCCAACAGGTCCCAATTAAGTGCGTCACAATTACATTGTAGAAAATTCTATCAACAAAATAATATACGAAGCAAAGACAAATCTCCGGCAAAATCCAACACCTTGCAGTGAGAAATTAAGCAATCATAACTTGCTGACGTTTAGAATTCTCATGTTTGTCAGTACACGCCATGCTACAGCGGGAGTCTGCCATCTTGGATCGAACTCAACCCAAGTGTGTCACACAGTCACATTGTAGAAAATTCCTGCGACAGAATACACGAAGAACAGGGATCAAAACTCCAGGAAAATCCAACCAGTTAAGACCTTGTAGCGATGGTTACTTGCTGAAACATCTTTTTATGAGGAAGGCGTTAAAAATATCCAAAACTCAGGAGCGATGTGTGGAGACATGTTGACGTGTCCGGAATCATATAGTCGATCCTCAAACAACGTCCAGTCGGTCCTCAAACAACGTCCAGTCGGTCCTCAAACAACGTCCAGTCGGTCCTCAAACCACGTCCAGTCGGTCCTCAAACAACGTCCAGTCGGTCCTCAAACAACGTCCAGTCGGTCCTCAAACAACGTCCAGTCGGTCCTCAAACAACGTCCAGTCGGTCCTCAAACAACGTCCAGTCGGTCCTCAAACAACGTCCAGTCGGTCCTCAAACAACGTCCAGTCGGTCCTCAAACAACGTCCAGTCGGTCCTCAAACAACGTCCTCGACCCATTTTGATCCCTCGACCCATTTTGATCATTTGTTTTAAATATGAGGCGTCTGTCTTTATTTTTAATTAACCTTAGTTTGACTTTCCGGTTAACCCGGGAGTAATGGTCAAGCAACTTGGTTTTTGGACATCAAATATGTTTATCAGTGTCAACACAAAATAAACAAGATTTTCATGTTGTTTATAGAAAATAAATGTTCTCAAAGAAAACCGCTTGTATAATAGTTACCTGATGACGTCAAAGTGAAGTGACAGTAATAGGAAGTTTCAAGTCCGTATTGCTGAACGTTTTGAAGAAAGGTCGCAGAAAATGTTTGTCCAAATAATCCCAAAACGTAACATTAACAACCCATATCACCTTGAAAAGTCGATCAGATAGAGCATTAAAGTTGATACTTCTGGGGTGTGGCACCTTGTAAAATAGATTTTCAAAATGAATTGATAATTTTCACGAATTCCATTAGTTATGAGCTTTCCAATGAGACATCGCACGACAATTACATTGAACTTTTGAATTAAGAGTGAGACGCTCCTAACTCGTTCTGAATAGTGTGCACAATTTCTGATTTGGAGCCCACCATTTAAACCCTTTTTTCAACAATATATATAAAGCCTGGAAAAGCAAACAAGCAAATTTATTTGTTAGAGGGCATTATATTCCTTTCAATTTCGTTCGGAAAAGGAAACCGAGCTTTGGAAAATCCCGTATAACATACCAACTTTAACATGATTTTGTCCGTTTAGTTCATTATTTATAAATTAACGAAAATCACGTAAAAGTCTATGATTGTAATACCTGATGACGTTTCAATGACGTCACGGTAATATATACCACTATGTGTCAGAATATCCAGTCCAAGTTTCAAGTTTATATGAACTGTTTTGAAGAAAATTTGCGGAGAATAATATCATTGTCCAAATCAACCCTCCCCCCCCCTCAACTTGAAAATGTGAGATTAACAGCCTGATTACCCCAGAAAAGATTTTAACATATTAAGCGGCCCAAAATGTTCCTAAAATACTAGCAAATTCATATTGATTCCAAAATTGGGTTGATTTGAGCTGTTTTCAGCTCAAAAACAGCTCCAAATGTAATCTGCCCGGGCGAAATAGTTATCTGCCTGGGCGAAATATAGTGGGCCAGAATTTGTTTTCGGTCATGTCCTAGATACACCACCGTAGAATATACATTTACTTTCGCTGCATTTTCAGAAATCAATGGATTTGGGGCTTAGTATGTTATTGCAAAATATTGTGTACATGTTTAAAGGGCTCGTGCAATGTCATTTGTTTAATGCAATCCTTGGAAAATGCACCTTTATTTCTTATTTAACATTATTTTCAATTGCCATTTTGAAAATTGCCATTATTTTCAATTTATTTGCCACTTGCCATATTTGCCATTTTAAAGGATATTTGGTGCCTTTTTCGTTTTTATGTTTATTTCCATATTCATGATCAAAACTGTTGTGTCATTCCTGGCAGAAACGTCAATGTTACAGCCATTTCAACACCAAATTGCAAAAGTTGCTAGAATTTGGAGCATTTTGCTGTCACTGATAAGTAATACATGGCAGTAAACAAACAAGTAACCTTTTCTCGCAAATGTTTTCAATGAGCAAAATTAATTTAGGTTCACAATTTGAACAGAAATCCCTAAACTGAAAAGTGTGTTCCTGGAATGACATCACAGCAATAAAAATGTTCAATAAATGGTTTTCATACATTTAAGAGGACTAGAAAGTTGCACAAAATGTGCTCCTAAGAAAAGTTCATTGCATGGACAAATTAAGTTCATATAGGTACTGGAAAACATACAAAATGTCCACTTTTGGCAATGACAGCACAACAGGTGTCACAACCACACAACTTCTCAAACTAGATTCTGCACATGTATGGTGTTTACCGCAAACTCTCCCTAGCGCCCTCAGTTGGCCGGAAAAGAATGCAAAATTTTAAAAGCTTCAAGAGGTGCACTTTTTAAGAAAATTAACAAAACGGGGATGTCGAATAGTTTTCAAACATTTAAGATGAGAAGAAAGCTGCACAAAGGTGTTCCTATGAAAATTCCATCGCATGGGCCCAATCAATTAAATATGTTATCACGAAAATGCAGATTTCAACGATGAATGTTATTTTTGAAAAACCGAATGAAGCGATAACGTTGCAGTTCTCTGAAATAGATAATTAAATGATGACAAATCGTATTTCCGAGATACGTTATCGTTGGATTCCGTGTTTCCGAGCTAACCTTATCGTTTAAATGTGTGTTTCCCTGATTAGTTATTATTGCATTTTGTATTTCAGTGAAAAGTTATCGTTGAAAAAAACGGTTATCGTTTGGGAGTTTCAGTGTTTCCAAGAGTTATCTTCATAGTTTGTAACTTGAATGGTCAGTACGAACAGCTTGAATTGCCTTCCTCGATAATGCCTTAACGAGGAAGGCAATTCAAGCTTGCGTAGTATAGGAACCTTTTTCCAGGTTCTTTTAAAATTTCGATTATGAGGCACCAATTCAGGAGTCGATATACAAATTATGGAGGATAGTATTCAAACATTCATGGCCAGTGGTAGTAAGGCTAGGGTGGAAATCCGATACTGATTTTCAAGGGGAGAAGTTGATGAGGCGCTGAAGTAAAAATTGCATAAAACAGACAAAAGGCCTGAAACTATGACTCCATATTTGCACTATTGAGTAAAGACGTTCAATCAAGGATTAATATCAAGACAATTGAGATTTTGAGCTTCAAATTCATGAGCTTCAAATTCACAACGTTGCTTATTGGCACAGTTACCCTATTAGAACATTATGAACAATCATGTAAAGAATGGTAACGTTGTGATACTTAGCTCAGCAAACAAAAACGGAAAGCCTTCCACGTTTATAGGCAACCCTTCACTAATTAGGCCAGTTTACAGACACCTCGTTTTCCCCGTTGTTTGTTTTCTGGGCTAAATATTACAACGTTATCATTGTTCACATGATTTTCCATAAGGTTTTAATAGGGTTACTGTGCCAGTAAGCAGCTTGGTGAATTTGAGGTTCATCAATACTGAGGTTTGGCAAGACTACTTGATGATATCTGGAGACAAGGTAAATGCGCGCAACTTTGGGGGTATAATAGTAGCCTTTTTGGATCGTTACTGTACTATGTCCTTATAATTTTTCAGTCACTTGTATGATTAAGAAAATGTTATTCAAGTAAGGGTGTACAAGTAGAATCATTCAAAAAATAAAAAAATAAAGAATATACCCAAATATGGGAATAAATATATAACACGACAGTGATTACCAATGTATGCAAACTAGGTATATTTGGGTCAAAATTAAGTGTGGCATCCACCCACATCTTGTTTGTTATGCTTCAAAGAATTGATCTAGCATGGATGCCAGCTATTACCAAAAAATGCCTTGAAATTATTTTCTAGAGAACTTTTCCACATTTGGCTGGCATAAGCAAAAACAGCAATTCCTCCCGACAGTTTTACACCAGAATGCAAAAAAAAAACCTGGGACGATTGATCGTCACTTTCAAACAAAATCATTGATACTGCAAACTCGACGATATTAGTATCGGCAATAATTTAAGAGGTCGTTAATAAACAGCTTTGCCTCTGGCTTGCACGAGCAAAAATATTATTCTCTTCGTGCATAGTCGAGTCGCGCAGCACTCATCAAAAAGACTGTAGGGCGCCCTCTGTTGCATTTTCATTCCTCGAAATCTGGAGCTAGCTTCTCTGAAATGAAAGAATTCCATCTTTAGACGGACACATAAACGTACAAATCACTTTTCGACTAAAAAACTCTTGGTTTTATTTTGGGTCCTTCTTATACTTTGTTGGCGGATACACTTGCTTTGCAAATTGCATGCAACTTAGCAAGTAGCCGGCAGCGTAAGCGGTGAGCGCCGCCTGCCTTTACATAGTACATGTGTTGGGTTGTTGTTTTTGTACACACGCGCGCGCACGTACGTACGTACATGTACATGTACATGTACATTTACGTGCACGTACGGGCATTCGCATAGCTACACACACATAACCCCATGATGTAGCTGGGCGGCGGTTCACTGTCGTGTCGAAGACAGCCGAAGGAAGCGCTTCAACCATCTTGAGCTTCAAAGTCCGGCCTGGTATGACATTGAGAAAGAAAGCAAACTGGGATATCTCATCGAGGTAGTGACACCTCTTCAAACTGGAATTTGGTAGATTGAATGGCCCTGTCACCCGGGCCTGACCGGGTAGAACAGGGGGTAAATCTGCCGGCGTTATTGAGGCCAGCGTACAGCATGGGGCCGGTGCCGGGGAATGGAGACACCATCCCAGATAATAACGGTGATCGCAGTAGCGATTACGAGCGCATGGAAAAATGGCTGGACACTCATCCGGAGTTTTCCCATGATTATTTCGCTCGTAAGGCTACACGTAGTATGATTGATGGCTGGTATATTGCCAGAGCAGTGTCTCAAACTGCCAAACCCCCAATGGCCGAGTCTCCACATTCACCAAGCAGCTCTTCTGGAAGTAACACTCCAGTTCGAAAAGTGTCAGCATCGGAATTTGAGGTGCAAGGTTCTGGGGGTTCTCTTGGCAGAATGATATCTACTGTGGATGGAGCCCCTAGTTTCTTAGGCACAAGCCACCTACACCTTCAAGGCAATTCGAGGTCATCACCAACACGATCACGAAAGTCAATCAGCGAGCTCAAACAGCTTGATGATCGAGCCGTGCTCATGGAATTAGTTAAAGACATTGCAAATGATCTTGGCTTAAATTCCTTGTGCCACAAAATTCTTCAGAATGTCTTGATTTTGACCAAGGCAGATCGTGGATCTCTGTTCTTGGTTTATGGCAAAGGAACAGACCATTGTTACCTTGGTTCGAAGCTGTTTGATGTAACTAGAGATTCAACAGTAGAAGTGGCAGGCAATGAGGAAGTACGTGTGAGCTGGGGTAAAGGAATCATAGGATATGTTGCCAAGACAGGAGAACCAGTCAATATTGCCAATGCTTACGAGGTATGTACATGTATGTTGTTGACATGGTGTAGATTTAGATGAGATATGATGAGCCTAACTGAACCTAACTGAAGTGAGAATTTTGTCAAATGGGTAGGTTTACCAAATCGACGAGGTTGTCTACTTACGAATGGTACACTGTGCATAGCATGAACTAACTGGCCGCAGATCAGTCTGCCAGCGCGCAGTTTTTGGTGCAAGGGTTGATGCTACCGGTATAAATTGGGAGGGGGGGGGTCTGGTGCATCCCTGAATGTCATGTGTAATCGCTAACTCTAACAATTAGAGGCGCTAACATTCTGACATTTTACGCAATGTTTGTATTAATTAATAATGGCTGTCGTACTTTTGAAGCATCAGACTTATGATGCGTCGGACTTATGGACAGAAATAAAAGTAAATTTAAGTGTTGGATCTATGAGGTGTCGGACTTATGAGCAAACCCCCCAAAGCCGAGGTACAACATCTGAAAAGGCTCGGTCACTGTTCTGGTAAGACATGACCGGAGTCTGCCAGAGTCTGACCTCAAACCCGGTCTGATGATAGTGCCAAGCTGTAGTAGGTTGTGTACATAGGGTGGGAAGGAACTGTGAAGTGCTTTGAATGTAAAGAGAATGATCTTGTACTGTAGTCTGTATTTAACCGGCACGAAGCCAGGGATTTCTTTGACCAGTAACTTAGCAGACATGCATCAGCACTCTGTACCAACTGCAAGCGATTGAGGGTGTTTTGAGAAAGACCATCTACATTGTATAGGGAAACGTCCCACCCCCACCCCATCACACCCCCCCCTCCCCCCCCCCCTTTCTTGGTGTCGATGTTTTTTTTGGGGGGGGGAACAACTGTTGTTTTCCTTCAGTTTATAAACATGCATGCTGTAATTGTTTAATCCATAGTTTCCCTGTTTTTCCCAATAGCCCAACACTGTATGGTTTCAATCTACAGGGACATGTTTTTGTAAATAGTGTCATGCAAAGTAATAAAGGTGGTAATTGGATGGGTTAAGGCCCGAGTCCATCATTTGCAGCTACAATGTATCCAAAAAAGTAACTGGCGTAATTATTGTTGAAAAACATACTGGTCGAAAGATAGTAAGGGGACTAAACTCCCTGTGAAATTATCCTTTCTGGCAAGCTCTCATTTTGAAGAAATCAACGAAAGAAGGCATTTCCAACGGTGCTTCTTAAGAAGCACCATAGGAAAATTTAAATTAGTTGTTCGTTTTGTTATTCGGCGCAGCGCGCGCACAAGCATTGGAACGACACACAGGTGCGCGCGGTTGCTATAATTCGTCGGATCAGTGCGCGACATCGCGTAAAGCTGCAATTCAACACAATTCGAAACCTGATTTAGCAACTTTTGATTTTAAATTGAGATCCTAGAATGCTGTTTTTCTCGGAATATGAAGCTGAAGCTGAGCTGAAACTTCATCAAGTAAGTTGTTCAGTATCCTTCATTAGATTTTGAACACTTTTGTTGCTTCAAACGAACAAAATGCACTAATTACAAATGATGGACTATACATGTAGCTTTAATAACATTATGAGTCTGGATTCAACAAATCATGGACCGGAATCAGTCAGACCTGTGCTGGTTGATGCAATCATTGGTTGAGATGGCTATCTATTTTTAAGCTCTTTTTATAGGACTTTCAACAAATTCTAAATTGTTATCGGATATCCTAGCTGAATCATTTTTATGATTTAGAAGAATGCTGGTCAACTCCTACATTTACATGTGCCAACTCGTACCCAAACCAATATTACACAAGCCAACTTATACTTGAGCTTACTCGCATGCCATCTCAGATCGTATGGGCCCATGGGTGCCGCGAGGGGGGGGGGAGGGCAAGGGGGGTGCCCCCCCCCCCCCCCCCCCCCCCGGAAAAGCAACCCAAAAAAAGGGCAGAAAATAAAGGGGAAAAAAATAAAAGAAAAAGAGGTGCAAAGTCATATTGGTGTAAATTTAATGGGTTTGGGGGGCAAAATGTCCCTGCCCCCCTCTAAAACTGATCAATCGAGAATAGGTTGAGAAATACAGGAATTTTTTGGGAAAAATATGTTTTGCCCCTCGAGAAAAAATCCTGGCGATGCCCATGAGCCACACAACGAGTGACTGCCTGCATGTATTATTTAGTAAAACCAAAGAACCTTTGATTTCATCGTCCAACAACTAAAGCCTGACAATATGCACAACAACTAAAGTCTGACAATATGCCATACATGTACATGTACGTGTAAATGTACACCACCATGGAGCTAGGTCTATAGCTCCATGACCATAAATCGAAGCTAGCAACCTTAATTGAGTACGAGAGTAGCTCGTGCATAGTGCGCCCTCTAATGGCACAACAATATAGACCAGCGCACCTACTTGCACTAACGTCTGCCATTTCGTATCAGCGGTTTAACTTTTTCTTTATTTTGTTACTAGGCTTTCCTAGGAAACCAATCAGTGATCGATAAAATGGTTCAATGGCTCGCCCGACGGTTGTAAACATACGGGCTATACGTGTGGTGATCCAGCATCATCATAATTATGCAACGCAGTGATACCCCCAGCCCCTAGTCAAACCAGTGAGTTTGGCGGTTTTGAGACATCATCTTGTATAGAAAAAAAACCTTTTTCATTTTGCCGACGCGCATGGCTACGGCGACGCGCGCGCATACCAGAAACCAGAGACTTTTTTTTTTTGGCCTAATATACCGAATATTCAAATATTGGATCATCAACTAAATACTTGAATAGCTGGTTGCCAGTTGGAATATTAAAAAAAAAAAAAATATGCACATACATGAGTGACTGTGGTTAATTTTATCGTAAAGTTTGGCGCTTTGTTGTCAGGTGCGACATTTTGTCAACCCTATCTTTGTTATCAACGGCGGTTCATTGTTCTATCCTTTTGCAGGTTAAAGCCCTTGGAAGTTATAAAATAATCGCCTTATAAACTGGCGCACTCTGCGTGCAACTTCTGACAGGCGCGGCACACAGTGCAGGCAGCAGTTTTGAATATCCCAATATTCAATCATACGCAGTTTCTAGGAATCGAATACTAAATTATTCGAAAAAGGGCAGCCCTAAAAATAATGGCAATGTGCATTTCACATCAACAAAATTAAGGGCCTGGGAAAATAATATAGAAAATGGTGATTTAACAGCAGGCGTGTAGCCAGAGTTGATTTGCTCATTGAAAAAGTGGAATTTGCATCCCAATAAGGAAAAACCCAAAATGACATGTATACATGTCATTTCCGGTTTTTTTTTTTTATTTTCACCATCCCTTTCATTATCCATTTTCGCTGTTCTGATTGTGCTTCTATCAGTGACCTGATTTTGCTTATAAAAATCTCTAACCTGCTACATGCTGCTACTCTGCACCCCCCATGTGTACGAGTTGGCTCACGTATGAGTTGACCTGTTCCCTTTTAGAAGGCCTCAGGTTAAAGGGAAGATACAACATTTGCAAAAATCAAAAACGAAATGATCAAATTTTCACGAAATACCTTATTGAATTAGTAGGAAATGACAGTCTAAAGCATCCTGTGAAATTGTAGCTCCTGTTGTGCTGACATTTTCAAGAAAAACTGAATTTTTCCAACGCTGGTCGGCCGACCAGCGTTGGAGAAAACTGTTTGTTTTTCTTGAAAAACTGCTCCTAATTTTTCCATATTTAGTTATTCTGCATTTTCTTTGCAATTGATTACACATGTGTGATATGAAGGGGTACAAGCCTGCTACATGTAGACTGATTCTCTGACCTAACAATTCCTCAAAGTCTATATTGCACCGTTTCATCTTATGTGGGGTCAGGGAACCAGACTTCAAGAACATGAGTGGTTTTCTTGGTTTTTCCAGCATCTACAAGCCCAAAACGTGAAACAAGTCAGTTTAACAATATTTGCTATAACATACATGTACTAATCTCCAAATCCATTAATTTTTTTAAAAATTGCAGCAAAAGCAAATGTTGTACATTCCCTTTAATGTTGAACTTTTAGATCTGTCCAGAGATGATTTGGAAGAAATATGTACCATCACAATAGACCGTACTTGCATGGAACTTGTAACCAATGTAAATAATATGTATACAAATGATAGTGCAAATGGATTATCGTAAACAAAGTATGTATCCATGCAGCTCTACATGGAGTGAAGACTGAAGTAAAATCTGTCAGCCATAAGATTTAGATAAACAGTTATCAATCAAATCAACATTATCAAGCAAAAGTCAGTTTGGGTATAGTTTGGGTGACTTGGGATAAAAAATATTGGTTACTCACGTTACATTTTCAGTTACTCACGTTACAAAAGTTACTCATGTTACCAAATTTAGTTGCCTTTTATTCTTAAATGTGTGTATTAGTGTCAACAAAACACTTATATTTATATCTACGGTATGTTCATGCAAAGAATGATAATCCTAAATACCAAAATTTAATTCATTAGAAATGTTGGTGAGAAAAAGTTTTATATCTTTTCGGTTACTCACGTTACATTGACAAAAAAAGGTATAAAATGCTACTTTTTGACATCTAAAAATGGATGACGGTTGTGAATTGATATGTTTCAGAGATGAAGACTATCATACATGCTAGAAATAAGGTTATATTCGAAATATCTCTTATTGCATTAAAAGCAATCAAGGGTTAAACTTTACCAATTGTTTTGAGTTCTTTGTAGTACAAAAATATTTTTCACTTTATGACACGATTTCTCAAAAAATGTTTGATAAAATTGGGTTTTCTTTGTTAATTTCTCATACTTGAATGTATAATCTGTAATAAAAATGTGAAACTGGGTTAAAAAATAAAACTTCTTTTTCCTTAGCCATGTCCATCAAACCGTGGAATTGCCCATAATTACAAATCAGTAATTAGCCAAGAAGATTACAAACGAGGAATTATTGATCATTTCTCTGATTCAATAAGTAGATACGGTATCATGGTTAATCGGCTCTTTACCGTTTCTTTCATAACGCTCGAATTGCCCACATGACAATA